TACGAGCCACAAAGAAGCAGGGAAAAGTTGGCTAGAAGGAAGTCGTGAGGTGGTCGCACCGGAAACTAAAGGATTGCCGAATAAGGAAGGCTATTAAATTATGCGAAAAAGTCCTCGGCTCACCGTTCTTAGACCCCGATGAAACTGTGCTAAGCTTTCATCTGTACTGTGATAGACACCACCAGAGCAGGTATCCATACTTCACGAATTAGAGCAAAATATAATGAACCAAGAGAAAAGGTGGTCGGCTGCAACCCTAGTCCATTTTTTATACACAAAAATCACGATCTAAATGAGGCATCCCCTGATTTACGTGGCTACTTCAACCTTACTCTACATGCTTGCAAATGAATGAAGTTACTTCGCGAACGGGAAGTGCGTTCGGTGGCAGCTGCCTATTTAAACAAATAAACTAGTGTACGATCCTCGAATGTTGAATGATGTTTGGGCTTGTGCTATTGTCTATTCTGTGTGTGCGTAGTGCTCATGTCATGAGAAGTGTGATAGTCTCAGCTAGACTCAAAGATAATTCAGCCTCGTTCTCTTGTTCAGTGGCTCTTCCTACACTCCCTCTCTCCCATTCCTTAAGCTTATCTAACAGGCCCACATAATTCCTACTCAGTTTTCGACACTCGTTCCTCTTATACAGGACGTTAGCTGTCTTGTTAATTCTTATAGACGTCCTAATCTTACGCCTTGATGTAACCCTAACTAGCAAAACGTGTTTTGAACAAGTCTATTAAGTCTCCTGTATTACTCATAGACCTTTAAAAGCGATTTTGTGTTCGCATAGTCTCTTCTGGTTAAATCGGCAGGTCTGTTACACACAGACCTTAGCACATGAGCACAAAACCTTGTAGCAGCCTGATCTATAAAGTGGATCTGAAAATTCTCTAAACAAAGGAACTACAGGAGAAAATGTTAATTTCTCTTTACACAATATTTTTATGTTCTACTTCCTCAGCAGATCACCCAATTTTTTCGCAAGCTGACAGGAAGGCAAAATCAGGAAACAAATAGATAAATAAATTTGCCTATCCCACACCTGATAGCAACCTCCTCTCATCTTGTTACTGACAATTGCTATGCAATTGTCTACTAATCCTAATGGGTGATTGTTTTCAAACAGTATATATTCCAATCAACTGATCTACAGTTTTTTTTCATATCTCCGGAGGCTAGCAGATTACTACGAGGTTTTAGTAGACTGAGGAAAACCTTAAAAGCGATCAAATAAGAATCAATTTATCAAATAACAAGGAAGTCTAAAAGATGTATTATTTTCTACTTAGGCTTTGCCCAAAGC